CCCATGTGGCAGGGTTGCTGGTGCTTTTCTGAAGGTGTCATTTCAAATGACGTGCAAAAAAACGAAAATACCAGCATGCATCCACGCCTCCCTGGTGTGAAACTCCAGCTTGTCCGATTTAGGACGAAACTTGAACTGTCCTGTCAGGACGATTTATACCCAAGCTGCTTACGGTAGCACTTTAAAAGAGACTTTGTCTTAGGCGAGTACTTCAGGCGAGCCCATTCGGTCATACCATCAGATATGTACACACGAGCAGAGGATGAATTTTTCCACCTTCCGCGAATAAGAATCAAGTCCATCGGGGTTTGATCCCGATACAAAGCTGTAGCTCCTCCCCTTCGCAAGGAGTAAGGCCTGTAGGAGTAGTTTTCTAGTTTAAAGAAACAGATCAGATCATTGAAGGTTTGTCGAAACGCCGTGGCCGTTCCCCTCCAAACAAGACCTTTGGCCTTTGAAGAAAGCTTCAAACTCAACCAGATTTGGCAGATCCTCTGATCTCGGATCACAATCATTTCTCCCGGCCCTCCTGAGGCGCTAGTTTTGGTATCAGGCAGATGGACTATCAACTCTGCTTGCGACGAAGTGATATCCTCAAACCTCATCTGTAGTAGCTCTCCTGTGCGGAGCAAGTCATAGAACCCTGCTGCTAGCAAGAAACTAAGCTCTAGTGATTGCTCAAGCGACCGTGCGATCATGGCCCACAAAAGGTCTGGCCCTAATGGAGTGGCTTGCCAAGATCGTTCACTCTTCCTCCAAAGCCCAAACAGGTGCCAGCTGTAAGGCAAGTGCTTGCGCAAGAACGGTAAAAATGTTTGAAGGCCGCTGATCAAGTCACCGGCAAAAGAAACTGACTCTCCATTTTCATAGGAGAACTCGAGATAGTCTCCCAGTTGAAGGTCAAAGCTAGCAACGTCGTTATACGCAAGCTCGCCAAAGTTCCATTCCTCTAGTGCTTTGTATACAGCTTCTCGGTATCGTCGGAGGGTGCTAGGTTGAATTGCACTTTCCAACAAACTGGTCCCATGTCGTGACTTCTTCCGCTGTTCCTTAGTCAGCCTCTGACGTGCCGGCAACTTCATGAACGCCACCCAACGCTGCTCCCTTCATCAGATGTGTCAGCAACTTCACGAGCGCGACGCATCATCGGTAGGATTGTGGATGGAGTCCACGTGTATGCCTAAAAAATAGAGATTGCACATAAGGTTCAAGGCATTGATCTTTCGCACTACATGAGCTAAGGATCGGCTCGAAGTCCTCCCCTTTGCGATGATAGACAAACAAACCGATGAATCGCTTAAGTGTAATACTCTAAGGTTATGACACCCATGGTGCTGAAGTCGCCACTGCAAGCTCAAAAGAATGGCCCTCATCTCTAGCGTGTTGATGTGTTCTTTGACTTCCCACTTCTTCTTCCAACAAATTTTCCAATGCCAGAACGCTGCAGGGATGCTCTGTCGAGGAAATAGTTTTGGATTTGTGGGTTCACTTATGCTAACTCTAATATCGCTTCCATTGTGGCTCACTCTTCGAGCCAACTGCCTCACCATTCGCTCTTCTGCATTTACCAGGCTGTTCACCTCTGTCTCGGCGCTGCCAAAGGGGAACTTGGTTCCAATAGGTGCCGTCCGATTGATACTCAAGCAACTCCCTGGGAACATGCCTAACCTCTGCAAGTAATGTGAGGGAGGCCTCCTATCTATCCATTCTTCAATAGCATTAGCAGCAAAGACCCAAAAAGTGTTGACCGGGAACGAGTCGCCTATCATCCCCAGTCGCTCGTCTAGATAGCCTTGTTTGCTGCTCTTGATGGCGGAGGCACTCCAGGCATGCTCAGTGTGATTTATCCCGTATCCCATCAATGTCTCACGTTCCGCGATGCTAATATATCTGGTCGAACCGGTGATCTCCTCGACCATCATGTAACAGTCACGATATTGGTAGGGTGGAAAACGAAAACCATCCTGTCGCCATCGGAGAAGCTCATGTTGTTGACACCTATGAAATCCAACGGGTTTGCAAGGGGGTTTAGCTCTGGGGATTGCCCGCGTACACGTAGGAAACACTGCCCCCTCAATCAAAGGTCGCCACCCTTCTTCAGCCCACTCTAACCCCTGCAAAGGCGTGCACCCAAACATCACCTGCCAGTACCCGTTTCGCCACTCGCTCCAAACATGGGCATCTTCTCTGAGGGCCAAGTTGGTCCAGACGAACCGCGGGCGGCTCAAACAAAGAAGATGATCACTATCAACTCTATAGGGAGCAAAACCGAGTTCCGACGAAATCGAGTCCCGAGCACTGCTGTCCATTGAGCACACGTTTTCGGCGAACAAGAGGGTCTCAAGTCTCAAGTCCTGGAGCTGCGCGCTGCACCTCCTTCCAGATCCTTTTCATCTGGTAGAACAACGAGCTATGCTCGCCCTGAAGGTTCAGCCTCCCAGCTTTGGCGCCAGACAAGTCCTTGCAGGGGAAACCTCCCCATACGTGAATGGCCTTGATGTCACCAGCGCGGGCGATCCACTCTCGAATCTGTTCGGGGCCCACCTTCTTCACATCCTCAAAGCTGACTGCCTCTGGCCATCGGCGACTGACCACCCTCTTCGATGCTTTGTGTATCTCTATGCTCACATAGAGCGCTGGTCGGGCTCCTGCCACGTTGTAGCTCCTAGCCGCGCCTCCTATCCCGTCGAAAAGCGAGATCAGAAGCACGGGAATCCTCACGCCTTGTGCCTCCTCATTCTCCGCATAGTAGAGGAAGTCTCGTCCTCTGTTACTCACCTTCTCGGATAGCCCCACAGCTCCTGCAGTCATCGAAGCATCACTGGCTGTCACCAGCGGGGAGGGCGCTGCTGTCAAGTCGCTCTGGTACAGCATAGCTCCCAAGCTGATGGATAGTAGTTCCCATCTTGCTTTCCACTCTTTCTTCTTTTGCGGACTTTGCAGAAATTCCCAGACTCCTCCAAAATGGCTCATAGCTGGGCGCCTAAACTGCAAAATGTGCATCCACCTTCCAAGCACGATCTGCAGGCTCTTTCTCCTCAGGTTGCTGCGTGCACAAAGCCACATGCTCAGCTTCAAGGTCTTCTCGAGCCTGTTTGGGTCTACTCCAATCCAACCTCGTTCACCTTGAACATAGGCTCCTAGCTCCGTTGTGACAGTGGCCCTGTGAACACTCTTCTGAGGTGCCGTCAGGATCCCTCTGGCGTTCCATCCTTCCTCAGCCTTTGTATGTAGTTCTCCTCCGAGCGAGCATTCAACTTCTCCTCGTACTCGCTGTCCTGAGGCATAATTGTCCAAATAGATGTGCCAAAAGGGGGAACCTTCTACATCTTCCTGGGACATCTTCTCTACAAACCCTGCTGGGAGAAGCTGTACCCTGTTTATGGATTGTCTCTCTGGGAGGCCAATATCTCTAAGCAGGTTCTCCGCAGCTTCTTCCATTACTCCAACTGCAGAGTTCCACCCCATGGGAAGGACCTTGGCACAGAGGGTGTACTTTACGTCCTCCTGGAACCCCTCACCAAGCTCAGACCCCAGGCAGTCTATGTTGAACGCCAACCTCCTATGCCACGCAGTCGGGAGTTCGAACAAGTAGAAGGCTGACGTGATGTCTGCCTGACTCACCTCAATCTTCTCGCCCTCACCTAAACAGATGGAAGTCCATTGAGCGATAGTCGGGAGCCGATGAACCGCTCCCGGAATGATGGAGTGCAGGCTGTTGCTGGGAATGAGGTTCATGATCACACGGAGCGTCTCCAACCCGTTGATGCTTTTGCCAGGTTTGACCACTCCAAACATGCCGTTTTTCACCGCCGTACCCCTGAATCTGAAGACCTCACTCTCTGGGTACCACCCGCAAATGCCTCTCTCTACCAACAAGGATGCCACCCCTAGTTGCTCACCGGGGGCGATGTGGACCCGACCTTGCAATCGAGGAATTTCTTGACCAAGATCCTCTACCTCACTCAGCCTCGGATCCTCTAGCAGCCTTCGTGTGCTGGCACTCACCCAGTCAACCAGTCGTACCGAGCCCCCACGTCCCTGAGGAGGCAGGGAAGGTAGAATCTGGACCTTGCTCAACTTCTCAACTTTTCCGACCTCTTCTCCGGCATACCCTATGTCGCGTTTGTCGAGGTCCTCCTTTATCTGTTCCGGTCCCCACAACAAGCCGGGCACCCAATCCTTCAAAAAGTTTTGGACTCGTTTGGTATACTCTTGAGACAGAGCCAATGCTGTTTGCGTGCTGCACTTCTGCTGAAACCTAGGCTTCCTCCATGCATTTGTTGGCAAAACTTCACAGAGGCTAGTGTCCAACCTTCCACATAGTCCTCCTCCGTCCAGAAACTCTCCCGGAAAACATCTTCCAGTAAGGTCCCCGAAAGCTTGCTCTCAAGCCTCTTCCAAACATGGGGGAAAGGGAAAAGGCTCCTACTGCCTAGTAGCTGCCCACTCACAACCCATTCACTCATGCTAGCCACCTTCCCCCACAACCATGACTCACCAAGTTGACTCCGTCCTCCTTGAAGGATCATCCAACTCAGCGCAAGGCCAAGGTTCTTCAAATTGCCTCGCCGACATAAGAGCTCTGCTACCTTCTCGCCTCGGGCGCCGCCTCCTGTCAGCGCCCCCTCCTCATCTAGCCTCTCAGCCGCCCTCTCTCTCTCTGTCCTCTCACCTCTCAAACTTTCCTCACTCATCCTCTCACCTCTCAACCTCAACTCCTCATCGCCTTTGCGCTCTGAAGCCTCGTCCTCTCGATCCTCAGCCTCAGCGCTCTGCACCTCTCTCCTATCCTGTGCCTCCTCAACCTTGTGTCTCCTGACCTCCTGTGCTTTTGAGATCAGTGTTCCACTGCTGGAAGGAGGCTCCACTAGTATCCTCATAGAGGAGTCTTCATGCTCCCCTCTCTGAATTCTGGTCATGCACTTTCTCTCTTCTCTCACGCATCCGCCTTCTCGGCGTCGCCTTCTCCTTTTGCCTTGCCCTTGTTCTTGTTGAAGTCCTTGCCTCCTTTCCATTTTCCTCCTCGGCCTTTTGCTTCCTTCCCGTCCTTGCCACTTCCCTTTGATCGCCACCACCCCTTGTTGTCCTCTCTTCCTCCACTTCCCGAGCCCCAGCCTCGGCCTCCTGCCGCATACCTCCAGGTCCCTTTGCCTTCGAATCCTTGGGCTCGGGAGACCAGATTGTTGCGGCGGCGCGCTGCGAGTTGCAGCTCTGCTGGCGCAATGGCTTGCTCGGACGGGACCGCTACCTCCAGATGCTTTGCAATGTTCCAACCATCGTGGGTGGCCGCCTCCACTGCAATGAAGCGACCCGCCAACGCATCCAGTGCTTCGAGGAGCCGACCTCCCCTGATCCCGTCGATCACAGTCGCTAACAGGTATACAGCTCCCTCAACGCTGGATGACCGGCATGGTATCGATGCTTCAAGCTGATCTGCCAGTAGGTTCCTACCTTGGGGCCACTCGTGAGGAGGTCCTCTTTGTAGGTCGCCAGATCCTGCAACTGTTCTGAGATCTGCTCGAGGAGGAGGATGATGACGCTGCCCTTCTTCTTTTGACTCCTCCTCTTCAACGGTGCTTGTAATCGCCGGGCTCTCCTCTCCTCGCTGCTCTCGTCCTCGCTGCTCTCGCTCGAGCTCTCCTCCTCCTCGTCCTCTTCGTCTGATGACCCTCCTGAGCCATCGCTCCCGTCTGGCGGGCTTGGGCCCTCCTTGTCCTTCTTCTTCTTCTTCTTCTTCTCCTTCTTTGACTTCTTGAGCTTCTTCCCCTTGATGACTGTCATCAGGGCCTTCAGTACAAGATTGCCGTCCTTCTTCTTCTTCTTCTTCTTCTTTTTCTTCGTGTCCCCTGCGCTCGCTGTACCCGCGGCTTGGCTTGCTGCGGCAACAAGGGCCTGGCCCGGTGATGTAGCCCTCCTGGAACTCGATGTACCTACGTTTTGCTCCTCCAATCCAGCCTTGAGCAACTCCTTGATCTCTCCTCCCGTCTTCTCCATCCCAAGGCTCAGGTTCTTCGGGGCATCGACCTTCTTCAATGCCGCTGCAGAGGTGGAGCTTCCGGGCTTCTTGGATTCGTGCAAGCCACCTGACCTTGCTTCCTTCGGCCCATCGGAATGCATACTCTCTCTCAATTTCCTCCTCAGCTCGGACACCGCATCCGAGACTCCGCGTGCTGCCTTCTCCTTCTTCTCGTAGGCTCCTCCACTGCGCTCTGTGCCTCGCTTTGGTTTCTTTTTCTCTGGGCCCCCACTCTCGCCATCGTCCTCCGCGGCCTCGTCGACGAAGATCGGGCGCCTCTCCTCCCTTGGCTTGCTGCCTTCTCGACGCTGTCGTAGTGCACTGGGTCGGATGTCGTCCTCGTCGTCCTCTCTCACTCCAGTAGCCACTCCACCTTGAGTTGAGACGTCGATGCCAAGGGTTTCGAGGCACAATGCACTCCATCTTTTGTGACCTGAGGAACCAAGGAGCTCTGGCTTCAGTTCGTGACCTAACACGACCTCGGCTTGCATGATGTGACAAATATAGTTTCCTCCTGTCTGGCATGGAACCTCGTTGCGCACGTGAGCGTGACTTAACAGCCGGTTCATGCTTGTCAAAGTCCTCGACTCCTTGCTGTCCGTGGTGCCCAGGGAAATGACCTCTATGGAAACACTTCCATCTTCGAGAACTGAATGACCTTTGATGAAAAAGGGGCAGCTTACTTTTCTCACCCCAACCTGAACGGGACAGATGATTACCCGTCCAGAACATGCCCCCATCATCAGCCATCGATCTTTGTCTTCGATGTCGAAGTGCCCCAGGCTCTCGTCGGCCCCTCTAACCTCTTCTCCTTCTCTTGACATCGCGTTCTCGCTCTCCTCGCTCTCTGCGGCGCTCTCGCCTCTCTGTCTCCTCACCTCCAGGCCGCTCTCTCTCCCTCCTCGGATCCTCAGTCTCCTCACGGCGGTCAGCAGCGCTTGTGGCCTCTCGGCTTTGGGTGGCCTCACGTGGTGTAGGCGGTGTCCTGGTCGAAGGCGGAGCTGGACACGCTGTCAAACCCAGCTCTCGAGGTGATGCCTCACTTTGAAAGTGAGAGGCGTCACGGAGCACCTCGAGTCCACGAAGGGCTGACTCCAGCCAGGACACAGCCACCCTAGCCTCGAGGCGAGAGTGGGGAGTGAAGCGCAATTCCTGCGCCAGCCTCCGAAGCGTATTACACGCTTGACACACCCCACTCTCCTCCACGAAGAAGATTCGTGAACAAGCGCTGCACGCGCTCGGCATCAGCGCGTCCCCCCACCCGTTCACTTGAGTTCAAAAAGGCGAACACCACACCGATAAAGTCACGAAGTCCCGTCAACAAAATCGTTCCTAGTGAACATCCAACTACTACTACTACTACTACTACTACTACTACTACTACTACTACTACTACTACTACTACTACTACTATCCCGTCTGCCAAATGGCCTGGAGGCTTTTTTTCCCCCAACTCTCACTCTGGCCCTCTCTCACTCTCACTCTCTCTCTCTCACTCTCTCTCTCTCTCTCTCACTCTCACTCTCACTCTCACTCTCGCACTCTCACTCTCGCACTCACTCACTCTCCCACTCTCACTCTCACTCACTCTCCCACCCTCACTCTCACTCACACTCACTCTCACTCTCACCCACACTCACTCACCCTCCTTCACTCTCACTCTATACACCTTCTTCGATCGCTTCGTGTTGCCGGAGCAAACAATTTCACCAGTTATCCCCAGTTGGCACCGAATGCTACTGTTCCAACTCTGGTTCTTTCAGTGAAGCTCCCTCGCTCTCTCTCTCTCTCTCTCACCCACTCTCTCACACTCACACTCCGTCACAATCTCACTCTCACTCACTCTCATCCACGCTCACTCACTCACACACTCACTCACGCTCGCACTCACGCTCGCACTCACGCTCGCACTCACTCTCCCACTCACTCCCTCACTCCC